TATTGGCATTTGAAAGATTGATAGGATAGTAGTGGCATGAGTCTTTCTTGATGTATTGCTACTTGAATGATTATGTTAAATGTTAGTATCAGTTACAGTATCATTTGTTAATTTTATATGCTATACTCTCGATCAATAGGAAAAAATACAGGAAAAAAAATTGACTTAGTTGATTTTTTGATGTCAACGATATCTGTTGTCTAAGAAATAATTGGTAGCGCAGTGATTATTTCTTTAAATGCTCTTAGTTTCAAAAATCTGTATGCAGATCATATAATTTGTCATAAAACGGTGTAAATGGACATTAGAATTTAACTTAATTCTTTTTTTTTTTGATTAAATCATCACTGCTCAATTTTTAATTCAATAAACCTGACATGAGTCATAACGTAGAAGTGAATATGCTATTGCAGAATATGTTGCAGAAATTTCTACTTCAGCAAGAGAGTGGCTGAAGAAATGAAATATACTGATTTAGAATTTCCAATCCGACGTCGGATATCCAACTAGATGAATGTCTGACGCTGTGATGGCTAAATGGGGAAATGTTGTAGACCCTGGTAGTTCGCATTTTGTTTAATGGGAACTTGCAAAATAACGATTAGTTCAAGAACTCGATGAAAAAGCAGCATTGCTGTTTGACTCCTTCCTAATGCACTTGCGTGAATATTATTCATGGAAGGTATATTTCGTTATATTTTTTCAGTTTACGAAGTTTATCCCATAAGATTGAAACGAACTGAAAAAAGAATGATAGGTCTTAATGGTTGTTAAGCTTTCTCAATTGGCAAACAAAATCGAAGCTTCATGCTTCGACAGAAAGATACCGAAAGGAAATTAAGAAGATAAGCATAAAAAGAAAAAAAAATGAAAGAGCAAGAAATTAGTGAATTCGAAACGAAACGCATGTTGAAATAGTAGATGGATGATTTGTCGTTGAGGTACCTTACAAATATTAGAAAAAACATTGTCAACCTTTGAATTGGCATGTTTAAGTATATGTTAACTTATTAACTTACAAAATACTGATGCAGAAAAGTAATTTCGATTTATTTTGAATAGTATTGATAGTGTTTTTGACCTTTTATTTCTCACTGCTTCAGATGCCTTTTCTTCAAATTTTACCTGCAAGTGTTTTTCGTAATAATTAAATTGAATCAAATGTTTCATAGTTTTCATAATTAACTGAAACTCTCAGAAGGTTCTCTATTCATTAAAATTGGTTAATTTTGACTTAACATATTTTATAATTGCTCTGTAAAAATCGTTCCATTTGGCACTATGTAATTTAAAATATGACTATAGACTGATTTTTTGATTCCTACGCATTATGATCATCCGAAAATCCTGAAATAAAATAATACATTAAAAAGTTTCTTTTTTTTGATAGATATTCACACCGCATTTTTTATCATAAATAATTGATAAAAATTTTTATGTTGCAATTTCTTATTCCCTGAAATATATCTTTCTTTATCCAGCGGAGAGCAACAAGAAAGGAGAATACAACTTTGAGTGGCAGGATTCGGATTTGCGGCTTGCGGTTTTATCAAAGTCTGACAGAGCGATAGAGATAGGGAGATCGCGGCAATATTGCAAAGTTGAATAAGAAAGGTAAGAGCAATAAATCATCATCTCACAAACATCGGAATTTAGCACATCTTTAATTATTGTGTTATACAGCACCTTAAAATGATATACTTCCATGAACGCTCTCCAACTTATTCGCTCTAATCTTCTAACCACCTCAATGAAGCACTACTTTGGCGGAATAAATAGATCGAATCTACTATGATTTAAGAAGTTTACGAGTATAATGGATTCATACTGTCACATTGGTTCTTTATTTCATTTAAATAGATTTTAGCGCTATATTTCAAAATATAGCGCAACAATTATCGTTTTTGAATCATTCAGAATTGATTTCAAAAAAAGAAAAGTTTAATATAATTTTCAATAGAATTTTGATGGCATAAACAACGAATTACTGAATAAAGTAGAAAGTTCAAAGTTCTGCGATTTCTGAATGCTCTTACGATCCGATAAAATATTGGCTACTACGATACAGAAATTTTTATTTATCAATGATCGAATAATGATGTTTTCATAATTTAACAAAAGTTTGTTGAATAACCTTTGTTGCCGAAAATACTGTCTTACACTAAGCTTTCATCGGTATTTATTGCTTATTAAATCTAAATAGTTTAAGGTGATTGATAAAATCTTTCGTTATTAAGAAAGTAAAAAAAAACGAAATTTATGTAGAATCGTTGGAAAAATCAATTTAATTTTCCCTGATGGCCGTATGTTAATATTTTTCAAATCAATACTGGACGTTATAAATTGAATTTCGTGATCAGACAATAGAAATTGCTTGGTCATATCACTTGTTGATTCATCAGACGTTACAGGTTTGTCAACAATAAAAGTTGAGATTCAAAGCGGAAGTTAAACAATTTTGTAATATGTATGCAAAATTGCAAACATTCATTCGAATTCCACACCACGAATCGCTTCATGGCTTTTAATTAATATGATTTTGAATTCTAATTTAATTTTTCATCGGAGAAAAAAAAGAAGGGAGTTAAAAAATGAAAGATGAAATGAATGTGATGCATTTTGTTGACAGATATTTGTTTACATTATATAATAATATTTTTCTTGATTGATGTTTCGATATCACTTAATTGTTTATATTCTCAAGGTAGATATTAGAGATTTTGGAAAAGGCGATAATAATCTTAATTTACTTTATGATGTCTACTTTTTATTTATTTTTATTCATTTGGAATAATTTCCGAAGTGATTTTAAATTATTATTTTGAAACAACAAATCTGATAACCATTATCACCTCACTTTTTTTTAAACTCTTACTTATCTCTAACAGATTATTACTTTCAACACACAGATTATTACTTTCAACACCTGAAAAATATAACGAACAAAAAGTGATCCACTATTCATTGCTACCAGATGTTCTTTTGGTACAATGCAATAGCTATTGTTTTAACTGATTGGATGTAAAAAATTTTCCAGTTAATTTAGACAATAAAATTACAATAAGATAATAATTATTACTGATAAGAGAAATTTTGAAAAGAATAGAAAACTTTCCAGTAAATCCATATTTTTAGCAAAATTATACTTTCTAAATGAATTATTTAAAAAACCAATTTTTAAATCCATTGTTTTTAGCACATCATTATAGCAGAAATATGCTAATGCTGGTTGTTGTTGTTGTTGTTGTTGTTGTTGTTGTTGCTGTTGTTATTGTGGTATTAGTAATGGTATTGATGATGATAGTAATAATAGTGATACTGCTGATGGTGATGATAATAGTATTGCCGATGGTGGTATTAGATAGATTGGAAACGGTAATTTTATGAAGGCCATTAAGTGTTGAGGGCGTGACGAAGGGAGGAGCAAATTTTGCAAAACCAATTGACTATCGCTTCGATGCGCTGATAAGCGGAACAACATACTTACTTATTCTTTTCGTCACAGCACTTCAAACAAATGTTCGCACCGTTTCATTAATGTTTGAAAGTATCAATGATGGTACCATAATATCACGGTATCATATAGGTATCATCTCATCTAGCTTCTTTGATTGTAATACTGTTTCTTTTCTTTTCTTCACTTTTATTACATTACTAAAATTCTACTGCAATTTCTCACTCCATGCACACTTACAGTCGTCGTTGATATTTGTTATTTTCGCCATTTCCTAAAGATATTTTTCTCCATGCCAAATATCGACAAATTTGAAGTCTATTTGATATTTTGTTATAAAGGGAAATCAATTCGATGAATTAAAAACTAAAAAGGGTTAAGATGAATCATTTTGTTAAAAAAAAATATTGCTCTTTATCTTAATTACATTTTTCTAATACAACAAACTTGAAATTAATTTAAATTTAAAATAAAGCTAAAACGATTTGTTATGCTTAATTAAATAGATGCTAGATTAATTTAACTTCGCTGATCTGTCATCTATCGATTCAATTTATTATTTTATGGTACTCAGATGGCAATTTTTCAATTTGATTTCAATTCAAATTTCATAGATTCGAATGAAATTGAATAAATATAATTTTTATTCTATTCAAATCATCCGTCATTTTTCTGCATCATTCTTATCAAATTTTCCAACGATCCTTCCATAAAGTTTACTATGCTAAGCCAAAAGTTGAAACAGCAAAATTGTTATTTTAGTTTAATTTACCTAAGAATTAATATTAATTTTGCAGGTGGAATTTTTTGCTCGTTGTTTAAGGAGGGTTATGAGTGACGGCAATAAAAACATTACTTTTACGAATATTATGGGACAGGTTTGATCATATATTATGTTCATTTGAAATTCTTCGTTATGTAAAGCAGAAGTTTTCACTTTATATGGAATAAAACAATGATAAGTAAATGATAAGTAAATGTGTGAATGAATTTTAAACAAATTTTATTTTCATTTTTAATAAAAAAAAAATTGGTTAAGAAATTTGAAAGATATAGGAAAAATCATACGATTCCTTGAAATTAAGGAAAATCATAGAATCTGGCAATAAATTTGTAATCAAATTACTTTTGATAAGATTATCATATTAATTAACGAAAAATTAGTATTTTGTTTTTGTTCTCTTACACTTTGTAAATCTCACAATATGAAATTTGAAATTGCTTTTGAAGGGTCGTATTAATCAACTTGGCGGTGTGTTTATTAATGGACGACCGTTACCACAACATATTCGAATTAAAATAATCGAAATGGCCAGTAATGGAATTAAGTAAGTTTCTTTGGTTATAGTTTTTTTCTTTTGAAATAGTTCCTATTAATAAAATAGCTTAGGATTTTTCACGTATAGTGAGATTTGAATGATTATTAGAATCCGAAATTTCAAACATTCGAACTATTTGTGTGTATTTTGGTTTTACTGTTTCTAAAGTCTATCGAAGTTAATTTTTTAAATATATCAAACTATTGAAAGTTTTAATTTGCTTCTAATTGATTTACAAAATTTAGGCCTTGCCATATTAGTCGACAGTTACGTGTATCTCATGGAGCTGTATCAAAAATATTGAATCGATATGTCGAAACAGGTTCTGTATCACCTGGGCAGGTTAATTTTCTTTTTGAAACTTTTGAAACTCTATTGCTTCGCGTTACAATATATATACAGTACACATTCGTATTTCAAATCATTTGTATGAATTTTGATTGTCTAAATGGGAATATATAATGTCTTCTTGTTGATAGATCTTTCTATGTCCTAAATATCTTTAGTGATAGAAAAAGTAAAAGGTTTATTTGAGAGGCATATGGTGCAAAATGGTACAGAGCTCTTTTTCCTCAAAAATTTCATCAAAAATTCATCAGCTTGCCCTCAGGTCATCACAAGTGAGATTTCGTACCCCCTATCGTGAGATTTATACGCCATTCTTCTAGAGCAGTTGTTGCTTCGCTTATGGCGTTGTTGTCTTGTTTATTAGTGGACAAGGAATGAAACTGAGTATTCGAGCAGATGTGTGTTAATGAGTGCTTGTGTTGAAATGTTCAATTCTGATTGTTATTTGACAGCTTGATAAAACAATTCTCATTTTTCAAAATTTTTGGTTTTCATCAATTTGATAGTTAAATTTAAATTTTTCACAGAATGATTTAAATATTTAAAGTGATGCGATTGAGATATGAAAATTTGGTGACATAGCGAATTTTTTATTATTAATTCATAATTTTGATAGTTTGAATAATGCAGCAAATATTCATTGAAATTAGAGAAATAAATTTTTCCTATCCTATCTTGAAAAACATTCTAGAATATTTTGAGCATAACAATTTATCATTATATCATGGCAAAGATAATGCAAAGATGATTGTTATCAATTGATCAGCTTATTCTTGAAGTAATTGTTCTTTTTAAAGATTCCGTTAATCCTATTGTGAAAAAAACAATAAACTCAGTCAATTTAAAATTTATTGCTAATCACAGATTGGAGGTAATCCACGTTCGCGATTAGCTATTCAAGCTGTTGAGAAACATATTCTGGCGTTAAAAGCAAAATGTCCTAGTCTATGCGCGAGTGAATTGCGCTCTTCTCTTATCGAACAAGAAATCTGTTCCCCGGAAAATGCACCTACCGTATCCTCAATCAACAGGTGTGTCTATTTTCATTTTCACAAATTTTGAATTTTTTAACTTTGAAACGAATTCTAATTGTTCGTGTGTAATTTTTTTTCACCTCTTTTGTTTCAGACATTAGCACTTAATTTAATTAAAAAAAAAGACACAAATGGAAATTTTCAGGCATATTCGATCGAAGAAACTCAACAATTCCAATGATAAAGAAAGGAAAGCATTGAAAAAGAATTGTCTAAGTCACAGTATCGAACATATCCTTGGTCTACATAGTGGTTTGTTTCAATTTATTTCTTTTCCATCTAACAATTCTGGTTATATCTGTCTTACTACTTAAAGAATTCTGCCAATAAGTTTGAAATTAATGAGCTTTAATTAGAGTGCAATTATTGGAATATATATGGTAAAACAAATAATACAAAATGTTACCAAATATGGGGAGAACATTATTAATACGATAAGTTTATTAATGGACGTAATGGGTATCAATTGAAATGATAAATTTTAAAATTTAATAATGACTATGCATCGAAGATCTCATAAATATCATTTCTCCGAAGATTTTTATTGTATCGTTGTGGAAATAATTCATAAAATCAAAATCATTAGTAATAATAAAATAGTGATTGTAATGATGAAATTTTGTTACATTTGTGATGGGCTGTAGTGGTAATTACCCATGACATTGTTTCTCGTGGAAATTTTGCTGTTTAAAATTCGCTTAAAATTATACTTTTTATAACTCGAATGCAAAACCCGTTTATTGAATTAACGCATCGCCGATTTGTTACGCATTTTGGATGATAAAGAACTTAAGGGAAACGACAATTGAATAATAGGTTTGTGATGACTGTACTTAAACTAATACTCGATGAATGGAGAGTAATTTAGGTTTTATTTTATTCTAACAAGGGTATGAAGCAATGAAAACCCAATAGCTTAATTAATGAGTATTAATTAAGAATTAAATGAGTATAAATATAATGAATATAATATAATGAATATAATATGAATATAATATAATAAGAATATAATATATGAATATAATGAGTATAAATAATATAAAGTATAAAGCATAAATTGTATAAAAATGAGTATAAAATATAAATTAAATGAAGAATTAATGAGTATAAAATAATGATTAGCGGAATACACTTAGTCGATAAGTTAATATTCAAAAAATTAACTCTTGATTTTAATTTGTTGCAGTATTTAAGAATAGAATTATTTCGAATAAGTAGATGGCTGTCGGGTATTATCATGAGTTGAAAAGTGTTATTATCTTATCAGTTTTATTGAAAATTAATCAAAAATGCTGTAAAACTGAAAATACTGTGGGCATTGCGAAAAGATTGAAAGATTCTATTAGAATATATCGTTATATCAAAAATCGTTATCGTTATTTTTCTTTTTCAAAAATCGTTATCGTTATTTTCTTTGGATTTTAAAAAACATTTTCGAATTAATTTAAAAAAAAAATTAATATAACAAGGCACAAAATTCATCGATGTATTGTTTCCAAATTAAATTACATTCCAATTGATATATAATTATCGGACATCACACATCCCTGCAAAAATGATTTATCAACTTTTAAGAGATTGCTAAAAGAGCGTTGACATTACGGAGGAAAAAATGTGGAGGAAATTTTATTCTTCAGACAGCCATATATTTTGATAAATTCTCTCAATCTTCTTCTAGTGCTATACTATTTTCTTTCTACTTGCATACTTTATCACTTTTTTTACAGCCCAAATTTTTGATTAATTTTCTTGATAAGATTCTGATCTTTGTGAGGTAATAAATCACAACGTTTTGGTGGTCAAATGATTAGAGAATTGTTTATGGAAGCACTTCCGTATCGTTGTACTCATTTGAGTACAAACATTAGATGACATACAAATGAAATTGTCTACCTCAGTGTTAGGAAAATGAATGACATTTTAAATGTTCAATGTTTGCAGCAGGAAAAATATAGATGAGGACAAAAATTTCATCCTTGATAGATAGAATAAGAATGAGTAATTTGTCATTGATTGTCATCTTATCCTCAATTGCGCAACTTACTTCACCTTATCAATTTAATGTATCTTACCTGATTGAGTCAGTAAAGGAATGTCATATGACACATTTTATTTAGCCAATGAAAAATGAACAAATTTTTAAGTATCTACAATTAAATATGAATTATAACATAAAAGTTTCTACCCCACTAGATAACGCATTATATGTTATAATAAATTATAATTGGATTTAAAAATTATAATTATAATTGAATTTAGTAATTGGATTCTAAATTATAATTGGATTTAGAGATTTTGCCACGTATACTGCTACGGTTGTTGATGTTGTTGTTATTAGTAGTGGTGGTGATGGTGGTGATAGTGGTAGTGGTGGTTTTGATAATGGTGATAATAGCAGTAATAGTGGTAGTGAAGTTAATGATGATAATGATGATCAAACATATACTGGTTGAATGACAAATATATACTAGTTCATATACTGCAAAACATATATGTTTGTCGCAAGAGTTCAAAGTAATACAAAAGTAATTATCAGAAGCGCAATCTGTTGATATCTATAGAAATGAGCATTATCGAGGATTGTCCATATTTTTTCACCAAACTAATCTTATTAACCACTTTTTCCCTTTTGCTTTGTTGGCACGCGACCTTCTTTTCCTAATCATCCTATTGCCACCATATGTAATCCCTCTTTTAATGCTTTACAAATAGAATAGAGTCGGCAATTTCGTCTATGTATCATTTATATCCTCAAATAATTTGTTACCTCGATCTTTTATATTTGGCTAGAAAATACCTTATGCGCCTTTTTGTCTTTGTATAAATTACTCAGCATGCTTTTTGAAACTATCGAAGTTACAAGATACTCTTTCATGTAAAGGTATTACGATCAACATTTCTTATTCACAGCTTAAGATTATTATTTCTTATTAAGATCATTCTTAAATAATTTCTAATAACTTACTGTTGTTATGCCAGTTGCTCCGAAAACAATACAATCAATGATTAAAATTGTTAAAAATAAAAGAGAAGAAATAGTAAGGAAATGAGAATGGAAGGCAATTAAAAAGCTATGAACTGCAATACGGGCGTATTCGTATTTATCATCATCTCATTTTTACCATCTTTTTACCGTCATTTCTTCTCTCGAAATTGTAATCCAAAAATTATTATTTGGAATGAGTTTATTTTACTCATTCGGTTTTCCTTTGATCAACTGTAGTAGTTTCTCTTCAACAAAATATACTCATCCATACTCACTACCGTATCCAAATAGACAAAGATCCCTGTGTTACACTCTCACTATCAACTCTTTAAATATCACAACAACTATTTCGTAGTGATTTAAAAATTTTTGGGGGAATAATGTTGAGGTGGTAAATTTCGCTTTTTTTCCTATTGTTTTTTTTATCATTTTATTATTTATCGCTTAATTTAATTATATGAAATTTTCTTAAATTTTCCTTACCATTTTTATTTTGTGGAAATTTTTGATTTTTCGAAAATTCTTCATAAAATATATAACTTATAGAATTTTTGAACTAAATTTTAAATTTAGGTAATGATGATATCCCGGAAACATCGGAAACAAGTTATTCGGAAGGAGAAGGAACCGTAGAGAAAAGAAATGGGAATGTAGTAGATGATGGAAATTCTGGGAAAAATGGAAGAGTACGACGAAATAGAACAAGTTTCAGTAGTGAACAGCTTGAGATCCTTGAAGCGGCATTTAATGCCAATACTTATCCTGATCAGGATGAACGAGAACGAATTGCGATGAAAACAAGTCTTAGTGAAGAGAAGATTATGGTAGATGACTTTTAATGATTAACTGTTTACGGACGAATTTTGACCAATAATTTTGTCATTTGAGATTTAATGGAAATCTTTTTCGTTCCCTTTTATGATCCATTTTGATGTTCAGGTCAAATTATAATAAACATTTAATTTCTCGGAACGAAAATATCAACTTTTGCAGCATACAAATGTTGTACCGCAATTTTAAATGCTACTGTATAAATTAAATTGAAATTTCTTACAGAATATTCATAAATGAATCATTAAATTTCTAGACGTGGTTCAGTAATCGACGAGCACGCTGTCGAAAGAATTTTGCTTTCACAGGTGCCAGTTCACTTCTGATTCAAAACGTTGCACCCATGCCTGTTATGCCTTCTCGATCATCCATACGACAGGTTCATAAACTAATTCTTTTTAAGATATTCAAATACCGCTCTGTTCATCAGCAAGCATTTGTAAGCAAATAAGTATTTTTATATCATAAAATATGTTATATTTTAACAACTAAATTCTTGCACTACAATATTACCGCAATTCATGAAAGGTCTAAATACAATATAACAAGGAGTCTAGAACTGAAAATTTTCAACATTTGATTTGGAAGGTTGTCCAAATGTTAGATACAGTACTGTAATACTGTGATAATTCGCAATTGCTCTTGTGAAAAAAGATGATATCAGCTGATAAATTTGCTATGTTATGTATTCAAGCTATCATTTATAATAGATGAAGCCTATACAACAAATAAGCTAATAATAACTTGAGAGATGATAAAACTTCTGTTATTTCTGTAAACATCCTTCCCATGATGGTTACAATAACTGAAATCAACCATTCTCTTATCACTCAAACTGATAACTTTTAATTTTTCTATGCTATAGAATGTAGGAATTTGTAACTATTCATTATGCAAATAGTTGAATCTAAACGTATTTAAAACTTAAAGAAGTTTATCATTTTGTTTTTTAATAGTAAAAGGATAAATTTTATATAGTTAAAATTGATAACTAGATGATTGGGTCATTTAAGATTTCATTTCACTCATATTAATGTAAAGTATATTGTTTAGAATGAAAGAAAATCTGTTATTAGGGAATGGAAAAAATTATATTTCTTATTTCAAAATTTTTAGTTAGTATTTTAAATTTCAGTTTTAAATTTCAACTTCTCACTGATTCGTAAAAGTTTTTTTCAGTCTGAAAGTATGCCATTATTTTCATCACAAATGAATTTACTCCCGTATCCTGTCAGTCCAACATCACCAGTGAAGTTTCAAGATCCATCAAGGGCATCAATTCTTTTTTATCCGCAATATGCATCAATATGATAATTACCATATCGATTAATAATGATGTTTCATCATATTCAATTCTTTTTGTTGTTCTGATTCAGAATGAAAACTCTAAATCGATCTACAATCATTTCCAATGATTGTGGATCGCTTCAGGATTTTTATTTTAAATGCAAGCAAGCAGACATCACGAAAATGTCCTTCCATCATACGGAACCGGAATCATGGTATTTCATCTATGATTTGTGTGAAGTATACACTACAAATAGGTGTAAAAATTGAAGCTTTCATTTATTTTGTCATTTTCATGAAATGGATGGACGAGTAAAATGGGTATTGTTGTAATATGATGTAATTATTTATGAGTTTCCCGATAAATACAATTTTGTTTCGTTAACTTTACATTTTGAATTTCAGTCCCATTTTCTAGGCAAGAAAACATTGCGATACTTTTGTAGGCTTTACGCCGTTTAATACATGAACCTAAATAAAGATTTTTACAGCTGAAAGAAGCATGATATGCGATGTTTTAAAACAGATCTATCGACTGTCTATTCTATTATGTTTTGGCAAGTGAAATTGTTTAATAATCATAGGACTAGTCAGCGTAGAAATAATATCACAAAATACCTGAAATCATATAGATACATTCTTATGCAACAAGTGCTGCTTTGAAAAATCATCTCTCATTGATGCTACTGAAGTTATGATGGTGCAGCAATATCAATGGTCATGATTAAAAGCTCAGCAATATCAATCATAACTATCTACATGAAATTTCTAATATTCTTGCTGCACTATCAACAGATTTCTTCCTCACATCGAATGCTACCAAGCAAATTATTTCATTTACTGTTAACAGTAATGTGAACACATTTCGGTGATACATAAAATCATGACGACATGACTATTTGAATGTTATGCTTTAGGATATGACTTTTAGGATGGGTGAATTTGATAAAGAACTATTGTTTTGGTTGAATGTGATCCTAAATGAGTCATGCATTAATTAATGAAATATGAATAATTTCTGATGATATGCTGATTTTTTATATCCATTTTGAAAAGTGGCAATTTAAAATTATTTATTTATTTAGACATAAACAATACTTTAAAATATCGATCTTTTGGAATGGTTCCAGAAATAAAGCATTAATTTTTTGAAACTTTCGATTATGATAATATAATTAATAGTTATTCTTCATTTTTTATTGCATTTCACAAATCTTTGTTTCAATTACTGCGATATTTCTCTTTCATCCATTATTTTAACTCATTCCGACATAAATACCCAATGGATCATACGGTTTTGTGGGCTCGATGATGATGATGAATTAATTAATATTTACCTTGATCTTCATATAATGCGAAGAAGTGATAACGATCAACTAGAGTGTGTACTATTCATGCATCACAGCGGTGAGAATGAATAATAAGATGAGAGGTGTGAGTAACCTTGTCATATGACCTATCGCTGTTTGCACATGCATCCACCTCAGAAAGATCGTAATAATGATAAGGATTTCTAATGAACTTAATAACTAACTGAATAACTAAACTAACCGATTAAGTTGGATGAAAGAATGAATAACTAGATGATTAAGAAATTCAATGATTAATTGATAAATTGTAGAGACAAAAATAAAATTTATAAGCTTGAATAAAGCATTTCAAAAATTAGAAGCATTGTAATAGTTCATATTGCTCTTTTCAATCGTATTTCACACTTTCTTTTATGAGTACGACAATTTCGACAATTAATTTGCATCACTTATGTAATATTCCGTAGATAGAGAATGATATAAAAAATCTGACAAGCAAATAAATCTTTGATCCATTCTGATCATCGACCAATTCTTTATTAGTATACGTTAGATCAATTAAATTTGAGCATAATTTATCGCCTGCTTAGATGAGAACAGATTTTATCGGATATAATTAAGTTACATTTGTTCGAAATCACATTTCCTGCATGATGTTTGCTAATGATTATCAAAAGATACCGCTGTTATAGACACATTGTTTTCAATTATTAGTCATCTCTTCTTTCTATGATAGCGAAAGTATAACATTCAAATAATGATAGGGTTTAAGTATTAAATGCTATTTTAATTTTTTGCAAGATTGCAACTTCCATAGATAAGGAAGAATTCTTCTCGACCGATAATTGAAAGAGTAGAAACTTAAAAACTAAAACTCTTCAACCAAAAGATTCACATCAAAGAATCTGTAATGATCAATTAAAAATATTGTGTCGTAGTAATATGTTAAGCTGAAGATGCTTTGATAGCTAATATAGCATTATTTTACTGAAATCATATCTTACTTCATTCATCAATCATCAAATCTTTTACTTGAAAAGGTCGTTTGGTGCTTTTCTCATATTAATTTATCAACTATCTAAGAGTAATTTATTTGAAACCAATTATCGCTTTCTTCCCTAACACAGTTAATGTAATCAAAAGGTACTGTGATGTGTATCTGTGTAGTTGAACAAATTGTCCTTGTTGTGGTTAGCCTCTCTTTATGTCATTCAATATTTTTTTACACTCATCGAAATCATCGAAATTAAACCAAAAAAAAAAAAATCATTGAAAATTGTAAGGTCAAAAAAAATTACCACTTTTTCATTTTTCTTCATGAGCAGAAAATTCGAAAAGTGCCGCTGGTATGAAAACGATTAAAACGACACTTCATAATTATATATCAAATTTTTTGATGCGAACAGGGAAAAATTGACTTCGTTTGGAAAAAGAAAAAAAAAAAAGAATCATCCGAAACACAGTTGCAGCTGCAGCAATAGGTACCGCAGTATTCGACCATCATTGTTTTGTAGACCGTCACTGCACGTTTAATTTATGTTTTAACTAATTGATTTTGATAGAAAATTAAAGAATTTTTGTCACGTTCTGGGACGAGTTTTTTGCATAATGAGCTCACCAAAATTCTATGATATAATGTGTTAAATGATGAGAGGCGGAGAGGTAGGAAAGATTGCTGGCAAGAGTATGGGATGGAGAGTATTTTGAGAAAATTTTCATTATTCATAAATTGAATTAAATGATTTGTTTGCCTATTTTCATTTGCGCATAGTCTCTCTCTCTCTCTCTCTTTCTCACTTTCTTTGTTCTAACAAAGATTGAAAAGAGTTGGGATAATTTGTCGGGAATGGGGTCTTTTATGAAAAAAAAGAAACTATTTGCTTCCTTGAAATTAGTTATTACCTTTTAAATTATTTGATTAATCTCACTTTTGAAATGATTGTCTAGTAATGAGTCATTTCCTGATCCTTTCTTTATTAACAAAAACAAAGGACGCTAAATTATCAATTTTGTAATGTTTGGTAAGTTGATAACCATTTCATTGCCGGTTGTATATATATATATACTTGGTAATGCCCATATAGGAAGTCATTCTTCAGGTATGCGAGAAACCATACGATATAAAACTGTCCAGCATGCGTGTGTCCTGATAAAACCAAATCAATTCGTTTCTTAGTATTACGTAGGATTTTAGAAGCACCATTTGGTTGATGTACCAACAGTATCACAGGTTGTGTCTCACTACAATCATTCAATGCACGTTCTGCATCCATATGATGACCAGGGATCCGTTATAGAGTTTCATTATAGAGTTTCTTATTGAATTCAATATATATATATATATATGAATTCAATATATATATATATATATATTGAATTCAATAAGAAACTCTATAATGGCATAGAATTTCAACTTTGGCTTTATTTTTTCGTAGAAAAGAAATGGATGAGCGGATATGATATATGCGTATCAGTTGGATCAATTAAAGAAGGAAATAGAAAGCAAAGTAAAATTTGTCGACAAATTGAGAAAGAAGTCATTTGATTTGATTAATTTGTTCAGAACAGAAAGAAAATAAAATCAAATATTATGTTTGCTTGAAAAATATCCCTTTTATTTCATAATTACTCAATCATTTAAGGCATAATTTTTAATCATAAAACGAGAAGGGAAAGATTTTCCTTATTCGTTGTTGAAAAAAAATATATCAATTAACAAAAAATTAATTGATAAAATCACTGAAAAAGTTGTATATTTGTTGATAATAGCGAATATTATAGCTCTGATAGCTATTGCAGATATGCAGAATGTTTCGAGAAGTTGAAAATCTGTTAGCATCCCAAAAACTGATAGCATCCAAACCTGAAATAACAAAGTATTATTATAGCTAAAATTCTTATAAATGATAAAGAATACAAATTTGTACCTTAATTGTTCCTGATCTTTTCTACATTTAGTGTAATATAAAACTGTAATAAAAACTATGGAAAGGTTGCTAAGTTTAAGCACTGCCTGCTATCATTGAAACGGTTTTTCTTCTGCAAATCCATTAGATTTAAATTATATATATGCGGGAGGAAGACGTACACATAATTTAAATCTAAAAATAAACCTAAAATTATGGAAGATAAAGGAAGCGAATTAATAATTAATTAATAATGTTTGAAAAGGAATGATTTTTTCTTTGAAAGAATTTTATTGTATCACTAAATAATACTACTACTCTGTAAAGGAAAGAATAGTTTGCTAAATACTACCAAAAGTAATGAATTCATATCGTTACTACGATCGTAGAAGGGATATTAATATTCAAGACGATCCCACGGATTATCAGGCCTAGCAATTCAATCTAATTCACAACTTATCACGATATTTTTCTAATTCTCACCCTTTAATAGTTATAAAAATATTTTTTCGGGAAGTTTAGTTATGTATATTAGACTGTAAAAATTTCTAGAGATCTTTTCTACGGCAAATTCTTGCTTGAAAATTCATCTTATGTAATTTTGAATGAATTACTATTGTAGAGATATAAAATGATATTTCATAAAGAAATATTTCATAAAATATATCATAAAATGATATTTCATAAAAAAATCCATAAAGGTTGTGATCATTGTTTGTTCGTTCTAATGCCACAACTTATATGTGACAAAGGAAGAAATTCAATTCCGAGGAATGGAAATTTAAAAACTGAAACTCGAAAATATGAAAATGAAAAAATAAAGAAGTCATATTTTCATCGAGTAGTTGTTTCAACAATTAAAACTGCTTAAAATCTCAAAATTTGTAAATCAATAAATTTATTAAAGTTTCGATTTTAAATTTTAGTTTTAAGCTGATAATTTTTTATTACAAACTTCATTTTAAAAAAAATTTTAATTTCAAGATAATTTGATTAAAAGCTTTATATAAAAGCTTATAATTGCTTTATGTGAAGTATTATTTTGTTGTTAATTAGATTAAAGGCTTTATATAAAGCTTATAATTGCTTTATGTAAAGTATCATTTTGTTGTCAAACGAAATAGAAGTTTGGTTCCATCAAAGTTTGTCATGATAGTTTATTCGATTTAAAAATAAAATTTAATGTCTCTTAATTTTTGAATAAATTTGAATGAACAAAATTTTGCATTCTGATGAATAAGCAAATCACTAGCAAACGTTAAGGTTTGAAATTACCTTTTAATAAAAAGTGGATAATTGAGGAAGACTGCAAATATATTTAGACGAATATGTTGAATGTCAAAGTTTTTGTTTTCACTTACTATCATGCATCACACCGTGACTACTTTATGTTTAATAATAATACTTTTGCATTTCTCATGCCTATTTGCTTATAATCAATCCTACACATCTTTCTCTACTAAAAAGATATTTATAATCTTTTTGATAAAAGGTATAGAAAGTGTGACTATTCTATCCGAAAAACATCAAGAGCCTATTCTTATGTCTTAAGGCAGGATCACTTTTTTTAACGTTGAAAATGATGAGACAGTTTGCCTAACAAATTTGCTACTGCAATCATATCAGAAGATGAGGTTGTAATCAATGAACATAAGGTCATGAGGTCGCTCTTTATTTCATGCTAAGTTTTCCTAACTAAATGTATGATTAGAAAAGAAATAAATGTGAAAGATTTTTGAGATTTAAGCCAAATCAATATGAAAATGAAGGATTATTAGATATTCATTTAGACTTGGAGTTTCAATCTCTAAATCACACCTGGGTGGTCATTCATATTTTTAATGGTCACTCTTCCATTCCTTCAAATTCAGTCAAATAGTTGAAAACAATAGAAGTACAATTAATTGTGGTAAAAATGAACAAATAATACATTAAAAATTGTTTCATATGAATGAACGAACTTATTTAAGAGTTAATTACGGATGTAATCATTAAGCGTTGCAGAATAATGATAATGGTTAGTTGTATTACGTGAAATGTATTCATCTCAATTCCCTCATCATCTTCTTTCTAATCCTACTGTTAATATTATACCGAACATATGAAATTATTGCCAAGTGCTATCAAATCCTACCACACAGATTGTTTTGTTACAATTCATATGCAAATTTCATTGCAGTTGATGATTCTTTCTATAACAATAAGAATAACGATGACAATGGATACGATAGTGATTGTGATGACGAGATTGATAAAGGTGACATAGAATATGTAATGTTTCCTTGTGTCTGATACGGTACTTGATGATGTGGTAGTTGGGATGTTCGATGACAGGCCTGTAAACCATAAGACCCTAAATGTGGAGGCGGGGCGGAAACTAAACAAACACAAATCGCACGGGAAATTTTTGGGTGGTTAATAGTGCTGTGATGGGTTCTGGCAGCGTATAATTATCAGCCATCAACAAAACAAACCACAGATGGGGAAAGGGAAGGTGGAGAGGGCGTAGGAGGACAAGGGTTCAACACTGAAATCCGTTGTTAGTAACCTGTAATGTTTGTGCGCAGGTGTTTATGTCAAGTAGAATAGATGGATAAGGAAGATAAAGGAGGAGGAGGTTAAAGAGATGATAATAAGCAAAGCAAGAGGTGAAGTTGTGTATGTGAGTGTGTCTATATGTGTATATGTGTTATGGTAGTAGCAACCATACCAACATGGAGCATTCATATTTTCGGATACATAAAAATGATTTAAATCATAGAACACTCCCACCTCCACTCATCTTTTGGACAACCGACGCCCCGCAAATCAAAATTATCATTCCTTTTTTAAATAATCGGTAAATGGTGTGAATTGGTTGTTGAAGTTTTTGTTGCTGTCGCTGCCATTGGTACTACCAGCACAGTAATGGCATGTACCACAGGTAATACCTCTACTACTGCAATCAGCACTGCTGCCGCTATTGTTAGTAGTACCGCGGCATTAACTTCCAATCATCATTCTTTCACATTCGCTAATATTATGGGACAGGTAAATTATTGATTTCCCTTAAATTAGCTGAAATTCTAATTGATCCATCGATACTTCAAAATTTCTTACACATTCAACTTCTTCGATCGTTATAAGTTATGATCCTGTGACAACGAATGTCATAGAACAACATCAGTAAATTAAAATGGAAAGATGAAAAAGCAAGCAGTTCATCAAAGCAGTTCTGCGATAACACTGTGTTAAGATAGTTCCTTTTATTAAGGGAAATTTTTCCACGAAATAATGTTTGTTGAATTTCAGAGAGAATATTTACATTGTGTTAAGTCGTTGAAACTACCAAAATTTTACAAAGTTTTTATCAGTTCGGATTGATTCTCCTTACATTAATTTCTAAATGCTTTTATTTTAAAATGACAAAAATTAATTGCAATATTTCATTAAGCTTACAATCATCCACCTGATAATTAATGGTAAAGTAAGGAAGAAATACCTTATGATCTACGAAGATCATAACTTTTAATTTCACATCTTTATTAATGTTGAAGCTAGCATTTCGATCTCTTTAATTCTCTTACAACCAAAACTTTTACAATCACAACCAAGAATTCTTAAATACATGATGCATGCTTCAATTTCGATTTACTATGCAATATTTTTAATCTGGCATTAACTGTTCCTTATTGGAGTTGAAAACGAACTAGTTAAAAGATAGGTAGTAACTATAGGGTCGAGTGAATCAACTTGGTGGTGTATTTATCAATGGGCGTCCATTGCCTCAGCATATCCGATTGAAAATTGTTGAAATGGCTACCAATGGTATAAAGTAAGTCTAAGCTTTTTTTAAATCATATCAAATATTGTAAAAGTTTTCTCACAATCATATTCATATAATTATCACTTAATATCATTATCACTATCAATTCTGTCGTTATTTCGTCATTTTCATATAACCAGTTATTTACAAATTAATAAATTGCTGACATATTTTTGTAAGCATATGAATTCGAGAAAACTGGAATTTCATAAGAATATAGGCAATGTTTGTTTTTGAAATGAAATTTGAATAGTAATGGTGTAAGTATTATTGGTGAGTTGTGAAATTTTAAAAGTTACTATAAAATTTATATAAATGGAAAAAATTAGGACATATCACAGGAATCATTTAAAAGTTTCAATTTTCTCTATCCAAAAAATAACTGCTTCAGCTTATAAAATTGATCGTTGATCAATAATTTAATCAATTGATAAGCTTAAGCAAAAGCATTCTTATGATCACAAGTTTTTTATTATGATTATGATCACAAGTTTTTTGATCACAACTTATGATCACTAAGTTTTTTATACATAATTATGATCACAAGCTTCCCGCAAAAGCATTCTCAATAGATAATTATGATCATAAGCTTCCCGCAAAAGCATTCTCAATAGATAATTCTGATCACAAGCTTCCCGCAAAAGCATTCTCAATAGATAATTATGATCATAAGCTTCCCGCAATAAGATAAATATTCCTAATGTGATATTTGAATCAATTCAAATTTCAAATGTAGTAAATTAAACAAAAACAAAAAAAAAATGATTGAAAGAAATGAATGAAATAAAAACAATCAAAATTTAATGACCTCATTCTTCTCCTATAGCAACTGTATCATTTCATTGAAATGACCCATGTTTGAATAGTAGTTGTTTGTTGTAAGTGATTTTATTTCAAAATAATTTATTTTAAAAAAAAAGAAGCAAATTTGTGTAATTCACAAATAACTAGCAACTTTCTTCTCTTCTAGCTCCACCTTATTTCTTTTCTTAATGACAGTTTTTTGGTCATTAAATTTGAGAGTGCTATTTATTTTCTCTAATCTTTTCTCTGGCACAAAAGAGAAAAGCGTTTCACGGGTGGTCTTTTTCATTTTTTGTTCACTTGTAAAAGTTTTTTCATGTGTGTGTATGTGTGTGTGTGTGTGTGTGTGTGTGTGTGTGTGTGTGTGTGTGTGTGTGTTCTCGGATTCTTATTTGTACGAGGAATGTGTTGTATAAAAACGATTGGCTCAAAGATTAAGTAAAATGAAACTTTTTTTTTTAAGGAAATCATTGGAATGGATCGATATGATAATTACTTTTTTTTTTTAGGAAATTTTTGGAATGGATTGATATGTTAATTACTCAAAAATGGATTAACTATTTTATTGATAAAGTTTTAGGAATAATTTTTATTGCAAAATTCAACGGAAATTTCTGCAAAATTCTTATAGACCATGTCATATCAGTCGACAGTTACGCGTTTCGCATGGTTGTGTATCAAAAATTTTATATCGTTATGCTGAAACTGGATCCGTATCACCTGGACAGGTTTGCACGTTTAATTTACACGCATAAAAATTTTGTAACTTCTACGCTAATTTGATTCAACTGTAATAGATTGTGCAAGAAAAAGCGATAATAATCAAATTGTTAGTAGATTTATTTCAGCTGTCGATAACTTTCCGCTCAGTTAACATTATTATGTTGATTGAATAATAATAAAATGATTGTTACTTTTTAACCTTATTTTATTGACAGCTTCATTTGAGCATTTGAAAAAAGCAAAATTTTTGGATTCTTAGTAAAATTTGTTTAGCAATTACCGTATGTACGATTATTTTTGTGTGGTGAGGAGAGGAGAAAAAAGATGGAGGATATTTTAAAATTCCAACAATTCATTCCCATAATTCAATTTCTTAATTTCATTATCGATAGTGATCAATTTCTCTTAATTTGATTATCGATATAAAGAGAGGAAAGTGATAAAACTGTTGATAACTGCTAAGTTCTTATAAGAGAGATCTCTCTATCACACTACAAATTTCATCTAAGAGTAGGAAATGAATTTAATGAAATAGTATTTTCTAATGTGAATAAAAAATTAGAGAAATAAACTGATATTATCCAATTTCAATTCTGATCTTTCAATTAATTCTATAAAGTGATATTTAACACTTAATAGTTAAATCTGTTGCTAATAATATACAAAGTCTCGATTCGTTAAAGCATACTAATTAATGATTTAATGATTTGACAAGTGTTTGTTATTATTATTAAAACTATAACATTTTCACTCATTTAATTTTAATTAATTGATCTTTTATTAAATCACAGAGTGAAATTAAATAGCGGAAGTTATTCCATTAAAAAAAAATGAATTTATCAATGATTTGTTGATTGGGTTACTTATAGTGACAATGTGTTACTGAAATACTTTATTTTATTTTTCACATATAAATTTCAAAATGTGCCATTAAATTTTGCATGACTAATACTAATTGCATATTAAAAGATTTGACATTCATTTCTTAAAACAATTGCATCTAATTTTTTCTTAAAAAAAAAATTAGGAAGAAAATAAAGCATTTTAAAAGATTGAAAATTATCTATCAATACAATACAACAGCTAATACTTTTAATACTTACACTTATAATAGTTATAATATATAATATATAATACTTATAATAGTAAGAACTATTTACAGCTATAAATACACAGCTATTAATACTTATAGTACTATATGTGATAGTTCTTATCATATTTCTTAACTAATTCCTCCTAGTCGAAAAAATACGTCGAAAAAATACGTCATCGTAGAAAGGAAGAAATATGATGAGTATCATCAATTTTGAGTATTTAACTTTACCATCCCAAAACTATGATATCAAAAGAAACTGGCGAGAATTTTAATACCGTATTATTTCCATTTCATTCCTTTTTTTCTTCCTATATGAATTTTTCAAAAAAAAGGTCACATGAAATTTTCAATATATTTATTTGATGTCAAATTATTTTTGTTGAAATTAACGAATACTAAAAATTATTGTTTCACATAGTAATTTTTCCCATTTGTTTGTTTATTTATTTCATACACTGTTTGTCCACTGTACCCACGTAATGTTTACAACTTTTAGAATTTCTTATTAACCATTAATTTTCGATTTTCTTAATCTATCCGTTTATTACAGTTAAAATATGATAATTGTTACATCTTAAATTTTAAGATCGGTGGTAATCCACGATCGCGCAAAACGATTTTAGCATTGGAGGAGCATATAGCACGAATTCGTCAAGATCAACCCACTATTAATGCTCATGAAATTCGTTTAACGCTTATTGACAAAGGAATATGCAGTCGTAATAATGCGCCAACAATTTCTTCAATACATAAATATATGAGGTTATCAGTTGATCAAATTTTTTAAGAAATTTCTAGAAATTCTTTCTCAAAAAAGAAGAAAGTAAAAAAATGTAATATTTGCAAATGAGCTTATCAATTGATTTTGGAATATTCGTTATTCCGGATAAATAATTTTAAAAATTATTCACGATCAACAGAAATGGATATTACAGAGATAGAAGTATGCGAAGTGAAATTCAAAATCAACATATATCAAAAACTTTTACGTTGAAGCAACCAAAAGCTTTTACATTGAAACATAGTATAGAAGGCATTCTCGGTACCTCTGCAGGTATTTTCATTCATAATCAAAATGGAAACAAAATGTTACGGTAATTTTTAACTTATAGAATTAATTCTTTAAATTCAATTACTATAAATACTTTGATAACAATGGGCAGCATTAGAAAAATCAATAGGCATTTATTGTTGTGAATAGAACAACGATAAACTTCGTTATCATTTTCGTAAATGATTGTTAGAAAACTAAACATATGGCTCAGATTAGTAAGTATATTCAATTTATTTATTTTCTTGAACATACCTGAAAAGTAGCACACCTTAAATTAGGAAAATTAAAGTGGCAGGAATCATTCCTGTTCATTTTGTTATGATAAACTTGTAATTAAAATTGCTATATAATATCAGCTATAATCAATCATGCATGATCAAACGATCAAATTAGTTAATTATGCGCTAAAATGATGTTTTCCTTTGCTGTTGTTATTGTTGCTGTCGCTGTTGTTGTTGTTGTTGTTGTTGTTACTGTTGCGATAAACGCAAGTGCAATTTTGTCACTGTACAAGCAATTATTTGAAGTGTTCAAGTGTGCTAATTCCTTTTTACATCCTTATCAATCATATAATTAAGTCTAATTTTACATTCCATTTAAAGTGTTGAATTGTTTGCACATACAGTAAGCCATCTGTCAAAAATTTTTTAAATAGGCAATCACAAAATGAAAATTCTAATATCATTGTTGTTAAATCATGTGAAGTTGATATGTTTGAAAATTTTTTCAAAATTATTTGTTTTCTTTTTTTAAAAGCTAACTGAAACTAATATTTCGTGACTTCCATTTACTTATTATATTTAAAATTTATTTTAAATGAAATCAAGGTCAAAATTCATTTTGATGCTTTTTGTTGTGCAATTAGAAATTTATGAATCTTCAAAAAATTGGATGCAGAAAAGAGATACGAGAAATTTTTCGGCTTTTCGATTCAACCATATCATTTGTGTTGCAAATATACAGTAGACAAGAAAAGCATAAATTTAACAGTTATTGTTTTTTGCTGTTACAGCTAAAACATTTCTTGAAGAAGAAGATGGAAATATTTTTGTTATATGTTTTGCAAAATTTTCACTTTTATCTAATAGACAAATAATAACAATGCTAGAAAGCAACCTTCTACTTCACTAAACTACAAATCAATAATTAATATCACTTATTACTTTAGGAAGATGTAATAGTGCTAAACAGTTATTACCGGATTGTCGATCAGAAATGGTCGGTAGAACTCGACGAAGTAGGACAAGTTTTACGCAAGAGCAGTTAGAGGTATTGGAAGCAGCTTTTAAAGCAAATACCTATCCGGATCAGGAATTGCGTGAACGTCTTGCTGCAGCAACCAAGCTGGATGAGGGTAAAATACAGGTTGCATCAAATTCTTTTTTATATTACACATAATTACACATCTTTGATTTCATCAATTGATTGCTTTAAGTTAGTATCCGGTTTTTATACAAATCTATGAGTGAAAGTTGCATTCATCCGTACCTTACAATTAATCTCTGTTCTTTATAAAACTGATTAATTCAAATTTTTTTAAATCTAACATTTATATTTGACTGAAATTTTGCAGGTATGGTTTAGCAATCGTCGAGCACGATGTCGAAAATCTCTGGCAACATCGACATCCAATCCATTTATGTTTTATCCAAATTCTTCCATACCTTTTTTTCAAGAAATGGTAAAATAATTTTTGATTTAAAAAAAAAAATGGATTTTAAATATCAATTCATCATCATAGGATTGTTGAAATTAGCAAATTTTACAATTTCAAAATTAAGAAAATTACGTTCTTACATAATGTTAAAAATTAGAGGCGAATATAAATACTATCTTGTCAAGAAGATTTTCAAATTTAATTTTACCATTTTAGGATGTTTTAGCATCGGCAAGATCTGACATCGGTGCATCCTTTTTGCTGAATCCACGTGCAGCTGCAGTCGCTGCTGCTGCTGCTGCTATGCATTCAATAAACTTTACAGATTTGTCATCACTGTTAATCCCATCGAACGGTTAAACTCGTTAAGCGATAGTTTCAAAATTTAATGTTCACTAAATAAGAAGATAAAAGAGCCAAATCATTTGTAACTATTTTTAGGCTTATTCACTTATACTGCAAAATTGGCACTTCCTTTGTATTTTCGCTTCATTGGCAATATTAGTAAAGTTTTAGCAAAACCCAGAAATAAATATTAGTTATAAATTATTATCATACAATGTTTTACGTAATTTAGCAAGTATTTCTATAGTGTTCAACTTTTGTTTTTTCTACATTAGCTTGAAAAAATATGTTGAAAATGAGGAAAAGGAAGTGATAACATAATCCACAGAGTCTTCTAATTGTTATCCATTTCAATTAACAAGTATCTTCCAATGCTATTATAATAATTAGAATCCAGGAAGGGTATCCAATAAATCAGAATTCTTATTTAAGACCACATTTCAGATATTTTTAAAATAATAAATATGAATTCGTGAAGCTAACGAAAAAAGTTCAATTCTATTTACAATCAAATATTTGAATTGAAGTAAAAAGTTTCGTAATTTCTTTTCACAATTCGCAACTTGCACACTATATTATAATGTATTATATTATATGATATTATAAATATATTATATTATAACCTTATTAAAGACATACCATCAATTGACCAAAGTGTCAGATGATCGTTGAAAAATTGAACGAAGCTAACCATTTCAAACGAAAGCTTCATCAATAACTATGTAAGAAATTCTTGCTATGCTGAAAGTGAAAATATTTTCATATTTTTCTAATTAACTTTTTTAAATTTTTTTCAGGTATTTTTTGAAAATTAAGATATTTTTAAAAATTTTTCAATGAAATATATTGTTGTGTTGTTAAATCAAAATTTGTTGCAAAAAATGGAAAGTTCAAAAAATGTTATCTATAAATATCCAAAATAGATCTTCGCCTCTTTTGTATGCTTCCTAAAATTAATTCATATTTGAATTATTAAATTTCCTCTCAAGCAAAAATTATATGAATTGTACTGAAAGCGATCTGAAAGAAAAATATGGAAATAAAACGATGATAATGCTTTTCCTATTGATGTCATAAGAAATTGCTAATCAATCGCTACTGCATGACAGTTGAAATGAAAAGTTGTAAGTGATAAAAGAATGAAATAATGATTGGATGGAGAAATGATAAATGTAAATTTTCATCTCCATTAAAAATAACATCAAGAAAATGACGAATAATTTAAATATGTTCGTTTACTTTTTTAAATTTCAAAAAATTGAAAAATAAACAAGCCTAAATTTATAATCACTATTTTCCATCTCTTTATCAGTCTCTCCTTCTCGTTTTAATATATATATATATATATATAACGACGATATAGGATTGACGCAAATAGCTGCTTTATTTCATCATTTTTTAACAATTTAATTTTAATTTGTTTTCAGTAGTAATTCATACAATCTATAATAAGCAACTTAAAGCTTAGCATTTTGTAATCAATTATATTTACTAGCATTTAAACTAACAACAATAACTAATTACTTCATTAAATTACCCAATTCAATACCTTAAATTGTAATCATTAATTTATTCATGCTTATTTTTTTTAACCTAATGACATATACTAATAAGACTAAGTGTAAAAGAGATGATAATAATATTCAAATTATTGTATGATCGCATCGAGGAGATAAATATAAAGTCGTCTTTGTATAGTTAATATAATATTTTATAGTAAATTTTTCTTTCTCGATCTTTCTGGAAAAAAATTGCGAAAAAATGAGCGCATTAAGGTTAAATTATCAAAAATTTCTCATAATAATACTTCAGATAATTAAAATTAATTGAAAAAGTTTTACTCCAATTGAAATGAAGAAAGAAAGAGAGAGAGAGAGAGAGAGAGAGAGAGATACCGATAAAGAGATGGGAAATAGTTGTTATAAATTTGGGCTTGCTTATTTTTCAATTTTTAGCGGATATGCTTAAAGTTTCCTTAGCTACAGTAAATTAAATGAATTCGATATTACAAATTCGATACGAAGACAAATATTGAATTTCAAGCACATTCGTATCCCTGAAAAATGCATCATTGTAATCCGGAAAAAGATTACAACATGCTACGATGATAGGATGTTTATTTATTTTTGTAAAATAGGTATTACTTTTACTGATTATGCTTTGATTTGAAACTAAATGAAAATAAATCAAAATATTTGAATTTGTTTGTTATGGGATATATTGGTTTATTCCTACCAGCCAATTGTCGTTATTTTTTGAGTTAGATTTTTCTAAAAACTGGAAATTGGAAAAATGGAAATTCATTACTTGTTATTTTTAGTCTCGTAAATTTTCAATTTCTATAAGTTCTATGTAAATCTATACAACGCTTACAAAATTCAAATTGCTAGACATCTTTGAATGAGGTCATCGTATGGAGCAAGAAAATCGATTATCAATTAAGTTCGTTACTTTAGTGATGATAATAAAGATAAGTTTTTAACTGAAACACAGTATGCAGTTGATTCATTTACTACCAGCGACCAATGTTATCTTTAAACATCGGATTAAATTTGTGCAAAATGAATTATCTGTTCCGCCATCAAATACTTTAAAAGAGGTAAGAAAGATAAAAAGAGAAAGGAAAAGGGAGAGAGAAGGGATAGTAATTTTTGAAAAGTTCTCTTCCTTCGACAACTTCCACTTTTTGATGCTTGTTTTCCTTTATCACTTCACGTTATCAATAAACAACAATATCCTTAAAATATTATATTCACATTTCTATCACTTCCATAATTCATGCTACAGTTCCTTACCGTTACTTCATTTATGCAATGAAATGGATTCCCCGGCCAACTCCACTCCACTAACAGATTCATCAATTAAATGTGAACTCCCTTTATTACCAGCCTCTTTAATTGTGCAGCAAAAACTACTCTTTTGTTGTCTGATAGCAACCACTCCATGTCGTCTGCACTATTCATATAACAAAGTTCGATCGCTCGGGCCCATCAGCCTGTGATGAACCCATGCAAAGACTGATAGGAAGTGCCGTCGTACGCCTTGGGCGATGAACGAACGTAGGGTCCTGAGGCGTCGGCTACATACTGGATGGGATGGTGGTGAGCTGGTGGGGTGTTGAGATTCCGGGCTTTGAGAGTGAATAGGTTAAGTTACGGATGTTGAGTTGTTCCTTAGGGTGGGTTGGTAGCTGTTTGTTCCGATAATGCTATTTTGGGAGGTACTGGATTTAGATATTTGTTCCGGTAATGCTATTTTGGGAGGTACTGGATTTAGATATTTGTTCCGGTAATGCTATTTTGGGAGGTACTGAATTTCGGTGAAGTAGACATGAACGATGGTTGAGAATTTTCGACTGTAAAAGAGTACGTGAATGAGTCTGGAGAAATGCGAAGCATTTCATCTGACTGCATATATCGTGGACTGGTTACGTGAGAATTCAGAAGTTGCAAAATGAGAATGAATTTTCACAGTTTTCCCTCTGAATAGACTGATACATTTAATTAGTTTTAATTAGCTGTGTAATTTTGGGGGAATCAGAGATTAACTCCACAGTTTATATTTTTATTCTCTTTCACTGACAAATTAACATGGTAAAATTATCAGTATTTAATTGCCTTGTATTTCTTATCCTTAAAGATGTTTTTCGGTTTTTTTCGTATCACTTCCCGTCGATCAAGACGTCGTTGTGCCACGTGATGTCCCACCAATTGCCTGTTATCGGTATCACGAATACGTCTAGTGTGCATAATGCCATGCGATCTTAGCAATAGCTGAAATTGATCTTCAGCTTATTTGCGCATTCCAAATAACCGTTCAAATTTTTTGAAAGTGTTAGAACTTGAATTAATTTTGGAAAAAAAACGTAAAATCAAACCAAAATTGTTTGTTGCTGTGTCAAGATTTAACTAGAGCCGTTTAATGCCTTATCAAACTTGACGGCTGGCAAGTTTGAGTTATGAAATTCTGTTATTTTAAATTTATAACTTCAATGAATTGATTTTTCTTGGTTCTTTAATAAATTTATAGCGCAGCATATTCTGAATTTGATGAATTCACTTAGTTATTGCCAACTTGTGAAAATCTTTCGATTTGAATAATAAGTAAATGGTAAGTTACCTCACCTCGTTATTATTAACTTCGAGATTGCCATAGCAATTTCGCGAAATGAAAAGCAGAAGAATTGTGAAGAAGAAAATTGCTTTCATGACGTCTTTCTGAAAATGTTTAATTATAAATTAAAATTGTGGAATATAAAGGTGGAAGTTTGACATTAAAAATCAAAAATATTGAGCTGAAAATTTCTTTGAAGTTTTGCAATCACTAAAGTTAATATGTTGGATGATAGAAAGAAGTACTAAAAAAAAACTATTTTATCCTATAGCTTAGGAATTGACTGGTCTCAATATTTTTTCGATGGAGAGGAAATTCATGGGAGTTGTCGAGATCAATAAGTTAAAAAAATTGATTATGCCTACGAAGAGGAGTTACTCTGTCTGCATAGAAGTATCGAAATTTGAAATTTGAAATTTCGGAAAGAGGTTCGTAAGTACTAGGCCGAACTTCAGCAAACGAAATGAGCGAAATGATTGTGTATGGGAGGAGATTCATGTATTGCAGAAATGAGGTCATATGGTTGATTTGACACAATTCTTCGCCTTCTTCCTCTTTCCCCTCATCTATTCAAATTTTTAAAATTGCTCGGGATATTCCGTACAATCTCAAGGATTAACTTTTCATCCAGTTTTAAATTCATCTCTTATAAAAACACTGTTTATGACTGTTGGAAATGTGAGAAGCAACACAGTCTATATAATTAGTTGTGGATAAACTATGAACGATCATAATTTTGAAAAATTAAAGCATTTTATCTTTTCAAGAAAGGGAAAATTATTGTCAGAGCGTGTAGTGATTATCTCTAATCAGTTTGCTTCTAACTTTAGCAATAATATATTTTTGACTCTCTATTATAATTGTTTTAATTAAGCTTTACGCAATATGCCATTGTTTTACGAAATGCACTATTAGCTTCATTTATAAAGTAGGCGGTAAATATTAATTAAATTTCTTCAAACTTCCATCTTATCGCAGAAAAATCTATGATTCAATCCAGATAATGAACACTGTCTTTTAATCATTTCAAGTGTTACATTTATTGCATTTATATTTACGCAAAGGAAATTATTACAGAATCAGCTATCCTAATTTACAAAAGAGATCCCATTTCATTTGAAAATATTGAAACTGGTACATTCATTTGAAAATGTTAAAATTGGTGCACTCATTTGAAAATGTTGAAAATTGGTGCTCTATTTGTATTCTGCTATTTTGCTAAAATATAACTACAAATTAGGAAGAATTTCGTAAGGCACTGGATTTTTTAAATTACCATTTTTTTTGTCATATTTATAACAAGCAATATTTTGTCTATGAATTTGATATATTAATTTAATTAGTCTAAAGAAGAAAATTACAATGGGTTCATTTATTGTTTTAAACTCCTTAATTTGATAAGGTTTGAAATCGAACTCAAACATAGAAGTAGAATTTGAACTGTAAAAAATTAACAATATTTAATTTGGCTACCTTTTGTTCTATCTTAGTGATTTTCAATATTATTTTAATACGCGTGAATTTTCGGCTTTAATTCCACAATTCAAATTCTCTTTTATGTTTGAGTTAGTATTTTAAAATCATCTATACGAATATTTTTATTTTCAGCTGAATATAAAAATCGAGCTCTCTAGCTTGCATTAATAGGTTTTGCTAAGTCGACAGAGATATCATTTCATTTTATAGGAATAATAATGATGCTTTTTACAACAGATCCCTTTCCTCTCTATGATTGGTGAACTGCAATTCAGAACAACAAAGGTAAATCAATGAATGGCAAGGTCAAATATATCAATTGTTTATCAACAAAAAATAAGCTGCCGAAACAACTTCATGTGATTTTGATGACTAATTGCCAACAAAACCTTCATTATCAAATGTCTAATTTTGGTATTATACCTTAGTGAAAATATTGAATAATCAATAAAAATTAGACAGATTAGATAATTTGTACTGAACAATCTTCAGTGTCACAACATTCCAAAAATAACGAAATAGATCTGTCACTGTAGAAATTTGCATAAATCAAACACTATATACGAACGAATTTAACCTCCCTCTATCAATTCTTTACATGAATTACTGCGATTTTTCAGTACTGCATAGAGTAGTTGAACAAAATTGAAATTTCATAAAAACGAGGACAAATGCAGAAATCATCAAATTCATCAGTGGAAAAACTTTCAGTTATAATTTATGAAAGAGGGTTATGAAAAGGCTGTATAGTACAATGTTTTGGCATATATAAAATTTTAAAACATAACCTATTTGTGATGATTATACCTGTTGAGAATTATTTGCTTATCTTTACTTCTTTTAGATGAACAGAGTAATTTCATATATCCATAAACGATAGATCCATAACTCTTTTCTTCTTTCTTCTTATTTTACACTCTCTTCAAAATGATTGAATTCATCGTTTATATGACACATAATATTTTTTGTCACTTATTATTATGCAGTTCCTCTTTGTATCAGTTCACCGATACAAATTAATTTTTCGTTGCAATATGAAGAATAAGAATAGTTTTGAAAGTGTGCATTATTGATTATTCGGCATCTTTTTTTTAACTGGTAATTATCCAAAATTTCGAATCATATATTAATTATTAATTATGCATTATTAATGCTTTCTTTTTTTCTAATAGTAATTATCCAAAATTTTTAATTGTATATTAATTATTGATTATGCATTGTTAATACTTTCTTTTTTTTAAAATAGTAATTATCCAAAATTTCTAATCGTATATTAATTAGTTATCGTTATAACATTATCACAAGAAAATTATGAAAAACATATTAAAACTTCTGTTGGAAAATATTAATAAAAAGAATAATCAGTAAAAGAATTATTTTAATAGAAGACAGTTGTAGTTGGAGTACGATAGGATGGATATGGTATCCTCGAGGAAATGATCAATACACTAATATAATAATAGGCTTATTTATTTATTCTTCTATTTTCAATTATAAGCTGATTATAATTAGAATTCAATTATCGAAAAATTTCATGACCATAATTTCTTCTCTTTCATCTCATTTTTCTCTTTTGATTTTAAAAAAAAAAGAAGCTTTCCGGTTTAATGCAAAGTAGAGTTTCAAAAAACTGGCAGCAGAATTCTGGCAACATTCTGGCAGTAGAATTCGATAGGATTGTGTCGAGAATTTTGCATTTAAATTGTTATATAGGCGATTGTAGCAAAAAAGAATCAATTAATCAGTAGTATACGGTCCTTACGTTTTTATGGATTTATGCTGTGAAGAAGTTCAGGATCGTTTTGATGAATTGTTTAGCATTGGGTTCAACTGAAGAAGCAACAAATTGAAGAAGCAGTTGAAGTTTATTCACTTCCTGCAAATAAAATAATAAATAATATACCATAACAATTGTAAATTGATACAACAACTTTTCAAACCTTAACATATCACGTTGTTTTTATAACATTTGTACAGCTCTGTTGAAATTCGAAAGAGAAATTATATCACAAATTCTGATTCTGCTAAAACTTAAGTCCTAAAAAACAAAAATTAACAACACTTGCATGGCCAACGGCATCATTGAGAAATGTTATGAATTTGCGATATTATTCAAGTGAATATTTTTCCTTTGAAATAGTTTTAGTAAAATTGGTAAAGTTAGAAATGAGCTAAGGAACATCGGAAATATTTTACTAATCTATCCAGTTTATCTCTAAAGAAATGTTTTATTTTTTTTGTGTCGCAGAAGTTTTGTAATATATATTGATTATTTTTATCATATGATTGTTGTGTATTGTAGCACTACAAATAAGAATATTTAATTGAAACTTCTGCAGGGAAATAGTATTATTTCCCTGCAGAATAAGAAGTGGCAAATAATCGAAGGAGAGAATATACGTAAAGGTGTTTTCGTAATAAGTAGATATGTTTCTGGGATACTTTTTATTCGGGAAATTAATTAGATAATTTTCAAGAACTAACAAAAAAACTAAAGAAGTGTCCCTTAAGTGAAAATATGGAGGATTGAAAGCTGATTTGAGCTGATGAGTTGACAGTAAATTGGTGATTTAATTCAAGGATTTTTTTTAGAACATGAGAAATCTTTGTTCTCTGTGCGACGTTGAATTTCTCACACTGTGATTTGTCTTTCGACAGATATTTGAATTCTCACAGAAAGCGATGACAATTTGCGATTTGATTGTAAGATCTATTTTTGTTTTAATTTTGGGTGGAATGAATGTTTTGTCATTAGCAAACTGAGGACTCATACACCCTCTGCACCCTATCAAATTAGATGACGATTCACTGTTTTCTTTTCGATTTCTTATTTGAACATATAAAGAGAAAACAAATAATAAAACGATATTATAAATCATGCTAATTTTAAGTTGCAAAATTGAAATTTTATCTTAATCGCATATTTTGCAAATCAAACACTCAAACAAAATATCGTATATTTTGCAGTTTAGCTGCTTCAAATCCAACAGTTGTTGTTCGTGGTAATAGATACCTCCCGTACAGTTCCAACTGCTCCGCAGATTCTTCAAGAATTCCAAGAGCTTGTAACACTGGAAGCAACGGTGGTTTTCGTGAATGGATTACAGATGGAGTGCTATAAAAAAATTATACATTAAGCGAAAATATTCGAAAGTTATGATGTCAAGTCAGGCCATTTGTTCTATAATGATTGAATGATTCCTTCAGTGTAAGAACATGGTAATGCTGAACTCGAAATTTCATTTTTAATAAATCAGTTGGAAAAACATCGGAAATTCAGAATTTTAAAATCAATCATTAGAACACATTCAGCAAGACCTGCACTTGCACTATTTACACAGCTCGCCACAAAATAACTAGTAAGATTTCAAGTATACCTCACTTCTCCAGTATGGATGCTGAAGTATGTCAAAAATATCATCAGAAGAATGCAGGTATTTAGTACAAAACGCTTCCTGATGGAATCAACACTCCACATAGAACAAGATATAAGCTTCTAAACTGGCTTAGGAAATCATATAGCGAATTCATTCCTTGTTCCTGCATTATTAGGGCTCGTTCATGTCATATTTGACCAGTTCAAGCCACAGTATCTTTGCTATCAGCAAAAGTTTTTGGGAATATGTCTTGATGTATCTTAACAACATGTTAGTCTTTGCTAGAAGTGAAATTTCGTAGATGTTCAAAAATATATGCCTGATTAACACAAATTCATCGACGATCTTCATATAATATTTGCGGGCAGCACTGCTAGAAGCAAATATAATACTTTCAAAAGGTTGCTTATGTTGGCTATCCAGGCTGTAAACGGGTTTGCCATTTCTTGTCACCTATAAGCTTGCAAAACATGCGAATCGTATTAAAATTATTAAAAATCGTTGCAAAAAAATACCAAATGTATTTTTTTGTATTTTGTATTAAATGCATTTTTATACATTAGAAGGTGCGTTCAATAACTCATATTTTATATTCTACTGTGAAGATAAAATGCAGTATTACGTCTCATTTATGACTCGAGTGTTACTTAAGAAGTGAATTTTAAACTTAAAGCGGCAAAAAATTAATACTACGGATTAATTTTTTGCCGGACAAAATTCAATTCAGTTTGATAAAAACTAGTTTGCATAGGCGAAACTTTAACTCAAACTCAAATTCCCAATTCAGTTAAGTACGTCTAAATATTTCATTCAGAAACCTGTAACCATGTGAGGTCAATACCAAAAGAACCTTAAAGCATACTTCGAAGCAGGAAATATGAAAAGTAATGACACTAAAATTAACTTTAAGCCATCGCCAAGTTGCAATTTTTTCGAAACCAAAATATTCAATGGTATCATCAATAAATTTAAAGTGCCTCGCATTGTTTGTAACCCATATTGCGAACAGTCCCGTTTCCGTTAAAAGTTCCGGCACATATAAATCCGACGTCCATGTTCGATCTCCATATGTTGGATAACTGCAAGACCGGCATCTCATCAAAGGTCATTCATCTTTAAATTGATGTTCTTTTCTTATTTTTTAGCTTAGAAATTTTAAGAACGCATTAACTATTCCAGGAATATTTTAACTCACACAGTTTTCCTCTTAACAGATTTATTCTCCCATGGCGGATCCAATAATATGAAATCAAACCGTTTCCCATCTGAAATGAATGTCTTATTTTTCAGTTAATTGTAGAATATTTGGAATGTATCAGTTTCAATAGATTTTTAAAAAATTTGCTAAATATCATTAAAATACTGCATTCAGAGAAAAGAGATAATTTACCATTTTCAAAAACGAAGTAAAAAACGATTTTTCGGCAAAAGAAAACGTTGATCAAAATTAAATAAATCGTGCATTGTTCGTCCATATATAAACTCACATTTGATCAGTGCCCTTGATACACGCACATCGTTGATGATGAAAGAAGAGAATGGAGGTAAGATGAATTTTTCACCTTTGCATTCGGCTGTAATAACTTTCGGTTCGGCATTTACCCACATTATGAGTTCATTTGACATATCATCAATGCTTCTAAATAAATAAATAAATAAATAATATATAGAGAGAGACAGAAAGATAGATAGATGAATCAATAATATTACATACAAATTATTTGAAAATAATGTTTTAAATGCTAAAGTAAACAGCAAATTTTCTAACGGAAATCCTCCAAAACGAAAAAAATACAAAATCTTTTTTTCCATAAAATTGCTTACTTTCAAGCATAAAACCCAAACAGAAAATCATTATAATTACCCTTTTTCTTCATTTAAAAATATTTCCTTAATGTTTTGTTTTGCAAAGCACTGCTGCTTTGCATAGCGAGATAATGGACAAGGAACTGAATTTGCAGTAAGAGCTAATTGCTGTGCTAGACGATTATTGAAATCCAATGCAGTTTCAACAGAAGAACATGGCTCGCACTGAATTTTGCTAAATGCGTCCATTGCAACTGCCCTTTCTAATATCTTCTTTAGAACAATGCTGACCTGAACAAAATTTCAAGTGATTCTAGATGTGAAACAAAACTAAACAAGGAATAATATAATATTAAGCAAGTAACGTAAATACTTCAAAAATGGAATAAAGCTAGACAAACAAGTTTTTAGCGAACAGGGCTATCTATCGAATAATCTCATTAAGTAATAATAAAGGAAATATAATTGGAACAGCTGTTCCGAAAACAGCAAAAGTAAAAATCTACTTCGTATAAATCACAGCAGATATTTGATGAAATACCACGCTTTCGTTTACGTTTTGGCTTATTTTCGTTTGTGAGGGACATCTTTTCAGATACTGCAGAAGCCTGCGAATTCATTTGAAATGGCGATTCTATCGCATAGAATCTTCGGTTTGGCACACTGAAATGAAAAGTCAAACAATTTGCTTGCACAAAATCAAAGTGCCTAAGTTTAAAAATTTCTGGTCCCAAAGTTAGGAAAAACTTGTTCAAACTATAATTCGCAAGTTCGGCAATTCTTCAAATAAAGGTAACGCAATTCAAAAACAATATCCATTTATCATCGTTGTCTATAAATCTCAACTGCATTTCATCAAATTTACCTGCTGCCCGCATAAACAGTTTCGTAATATGCACTTTCATCGAGTACTGCTAAATCAATATTTCGTACTCGGATTATCTTTTGAAAGGTGAATTTAGCCATTAAGAGGAGAATTCTGCAAACTTCTATATGTAATCCATGACTTTTCGCCTTATGTTTTAATATAGTCAACTTGCCTGAAATATCCACTTGAACAGTAGAACCACATGATGAAGATTCATTATTAAAGAAATTCGTATCTAAAAGTTAAAGAATATCCGTGAAATATTAATGGATAAAGTGAAAATATTCAATACTCTGGTAGTTATCGAAAGATCCAACTGTAACAAGAATGTCCATAGAATATTATTGTAAAAAACGTATGAAAAATGAGCAGATATATGGCATACAAAGCTGATAACAGAAGACTGGGAACACGTAAAGTAATCCATTCTTTCATCTTGATAGTTTCGAAAAGAGAAAAAATAATTGTTGAAATCATTATTCAATACTTTCAAAGATGAAGAAGCGCACATTGTATTTCTTACATGTTTTCATGCATGCATTCAGTATTTGTTTCTTTAAGATAATAATATACAATTTTGTATCACAAGCATTCATTAGTATTCATCAACAACGATTCACAGTAATGTGCAAACATCGCTAATCGAATTTTTTCCAAATTAACACGAAAATCAAGTCAAAGCTGAAGAGAAAAAAATTGCAAATGAAATTGATGAATCCCATTGAAATTACAACCAAAATCAAAAAATGGCAAAAGTACTGTTTGTGCTCGTATAAATGCTTCGAAAACTATATTATACTGAAGTCACTTTTCATTAATAATAAATAAACATTAAAATGCAATAGTTCATTCATACGTGTAATTTTTTCAAAATAATTTTTCGGAAATCTTTTTCAAAAGCTTAAAATTAAGAAAAAACCGAAACTATCAGAATATTTTACTTTTTAATTTTTTCATAATGATTAAACATCCATTTCTTGTGAGCTTCTGATTGCTCCCAGGTATCATTGCAGTTTTTGTTCCGATTTAAGAAGTTTTAAAATATTGGAAGCTCATATAAATAAGTGATAATTGTAGAATGAAGAGCTATAAAACACTTCACTTCTCTAGTATGGATGCTGAAGCATATAAATAAGCGATAATTGTAGAATGAAGAGCTATATAACAAAAAGATAAAGGCCGTTACAGTTAAAAAGAAAAACCAACTATTTTTTGCAGAAGAAGACGTAAGATACAAGAAAAACACCGATTTACAATCTTCGTCAACTTTTCCTTCTCAAAAAATTAGCTCAACTGGATGCATGAGAAAAATATATCAAATCACACTAAGAAATAATCTTTAAAGATCACAAAAATTCGAATAGCAATAATCGTCGAAATAAATGGGCAGTTTCCGCAAAAGGAGTTATTGAAATCGCTTCGAATACGCTGTGACAATCAATATGAAGAATGTAACCGTTATCCGAAAGTAACTTTAACAAAGAAGAACGCAAATACACCAGTAATTACAGCCAGTGCTTTAGATAAGCCTTGCCTCATACCACGCTCATGAACACTTAATTCCGAACTCAGCATTTCGACACATGCAACATAAATGAATGCTCCAGCTGCGAATCCTTCCAATACAAATCGAATCAGCAGTGCTGTGAAAGTTTCCATGGAATTTATCTGAACATAAATGAATGCTCCTACGAATCCAACACAAATCGAATGCAATGGAATTTATCTTTATCTTTATCTGAATCTATCTGAATTTATCTGAATGGAATTTATTTCTTTTAAATGGAAAAATCTTTTTAATAAAAAGTTACCAGTGATAATGGGATACAGGAAGAATGTAGAAAAGGTGCAGAAAGCTGGTATAACACAGTTTTTTTGATAACAAACAGTGGTCTATCTGTCATGTAGTTGTATCATTTTAAACTTAAAAGAGATTTCCATTAATTGAGGATTTAGTCTTGATGATTTTTGCAAATCTTCGTTTCAAAAATTTTCACATTGCCATTATAAATTACTTCGGATTTATTCCGCAGCTCTAAGTTTCTGACAAGTTTTGAAATTAAAGAAAAAAATCTTCATCATTCAAAAAATCTTTAGCATTCATTATCCAAATGACGAGAAAATACGGATATTTTCGAAATCTAAAAAATAATTCTTTGAAAATTAGACTTACTACAATAGATGATGATATCCCCATTGGAATACTACTTGCAAGTACTATTGATGACATGAATGCTCTTCTGGGAGCAATATTTTGTTGTGCTAAGCTAACACCCAAGGCAAATGAACACAGTACTTCATGGATCATAATGGCAATTAAAAGACTGTAGAACTCTGTTGAGATTAGCTGCAAATAAATTCTAAAACCAAATTGTGCAGTAACTTATAAATAATCCAAAATACTACATTCACTACCAGTGCAAGATTATGTCAAATACAATGGGAGAAAAACAGAATTTAGACAATATACACATACTTTAGTCGTAATAAAGACAAAAAAGACTAAATTCAAATATGAAACATTTTTAATCAGAAAAAAGTAACCAAAATTCTGACCAGATAAAAACAATCACATTGATCACAGTAACTAAAAATGGGTTATTTTATGCACAACATTATGTAGATCTAGATTCAAGCAAATAACTTAAGGATCTCTTGATTTGCAGGGCAAAAGCCTATGAATGCAAAAACAAGAATATTGGAAAGTAGGAACTATTAAGTATTTAAATTGCAATCAACTGAACTTTGACCGGTACGCATGAAATAAACTTACAGAGCAGAAAATATGTATAAATACTACATAATTAATAAATTATTAAATCTTAAAAATCGAGGATAAATCTAGAAGACATATGTCAGTTTGGAGATGTTAACAAAAGATGACATAAACATGCGAAACTTAACATTAGTTGCATTTTAGTTGGCATTATTCTATGCTTTGGTTACTTGTGATACTCTTCAAAAAAAAACATAATCAAAAAATGAGTAGTAATCACAAGTATAACAATAGTCCTAAACAGGTAACTGAAAAAAAGGCAAAAGAAGAACTTACCGATGATCCCAGTGCGATACCTTCAAATACTGAATGTGTTGAAAGACTGAGCAACAAAACAAATGCGCTCAGCGACATATCCGATGAAAGAAGACCAGAATGAGAATATATACCATGGCTATGTTTTTGAACGACCTAAAATATCTCACATTACAATTGAGATGTAGAATCTTCTTGAAGTGAACAGTCTTTCCTGAATTAGTAATGTATTTACGGATATTATTACAACACAGACCACGATAATATTTCCCTCACAAAACTGTTAAGTGCTCGAATAATTTTGAAATCTTGCATTTTTTTCAATTTTTATTATTATTATTATTTTAAATAATCAATATAATTTTGAAAAAAAATCGAATTGAAAGACACAGAAATGTGAAGACGCCCTATTTCTGATGGCGTCTAGAAGATTTCTAGAAATTTTATTTGATGACTTGAGGGAAAACAAACCTCATCACTGAACTGCCGAAATTCAATTGCCACAGGATTATCAGCTTGAGCAGTAAAATCTTCGGTGCTATTATTATCTGAGAAAAGCAACTCAGCATCCTCGCTCCACCTTAATGAAGTGGTCGCATTGCGTGTGGATGGCGCAGTGGTGTTTAATATATTTTCAAAAGTTTTACCGCTTGCTGATATGCGTTTCATTTGAGTGGAATATTTGAGCATTCCATTAGAGCCAGCTTTGTGAAAGATATGAACTATCTAAACTGATATACGTATATACGCTGCATTCACAGACATTGAGAATTGAAGCATTTGTTAACACACCAAATAACGATCACTTACATTAGAATTATCGTTGAATGCTCAAGCTATTTAATACGAAAATCATTTCTTTAACAACAACAAACAAAATGTTGGGAGTATGTATGAGTATACTTATATATTCTCAGAAAACCACATATTATTTTACATGCCAATAAGGATCTGATCCATCCTTGCCAAAAATATCAAAAAAGATATAAGAACTTACCTCTTCAAGGAGAAGTATTAAAAGAAAGCCCATTAAGACAATCAATTCCGAATTTAAAAATATATGTGAAGATGAACCGGAGTGGTCGGCTCGTGTAATCCATAGATTTCGGATATGTTCTTCATGCTTTCGGATATGTGGCAGGAGACCAAGGAAACACGACGACAAGAATATACCACAAGCAAAACAGTTACCTAATGAAACGGCAAGGCTTTCTTTCCTGTAAATATCGCGATTTAATAAAAATGATAAAAAAAATTCAGAGTGACTCAAAACAATGGAATAAGTTTCAAAATCTCCAAGAAACAACTGCCAAAACAAGGTAATAAATTTGCAAGTGAAAAAATTTTTGATAAAAATGCGGGTTAAATACATTCAAAATCATAAATCTGTTTGAAGAAATGTTCAACATAGTAAGAGACCAGTAATTTTTAAAAAAGGAAAGGAACCTTCAAAAATATAAGAGTTTTGCCATGAAATGGATCGCCTCTGGCTACACTGTTCGTTACCAACAACCTCACGATCAACATGTTATTCAAATTCCCATTAATATATCTCTACATGTTTGAAGTTAAATTTTAAATTTTGTCGTACCTCAACCTACACGTCTCTATATCATGATAAGGCATTCGAACTGCTTTAGTAGAAGTCTTACCCTTTATCTTTTTACAAAAAAACGGAAAATAATATCCAAGCAAACTTACTCAGCATGACCCTCCACTCGCATCCGTCGCTTTAGCATGCAATAACTGCCAAATGTTACGGAAAAAAGTACCACAAATATAACACATCCCCATAAGAGATTCAGCAAAACCATACTTAGGCAAATGAGATGATGTCCATCTTACTGATAATCATAACATATAAAATACTTAAATTTTACACAACCTCCTCACGTTTAATACTCAGAGAATGAATGAATAATCGAATGACAGACTAAAATTGAGCTTAAAATTTAGTATGAGTCGCATACATTATGCCATATAAAACCATAATCCATCATCAGCTGTAAACTGCCACTTTATTAAGAAAATTCTCAGTAATCAATCATTTTTTTAAATTCTCAGTTCTCTTAAATCAAGAAATTTCTTCAAATAAAATCTCAAATGTTTATTACATTCTGAAACAGGAAAAAGGAATTGATGAAAGTATTTATCCATCAACAAAAACAAAAGCAAAATGTACAAATAACAGGTAAATCAATGAGTAACAACGATTTTGATCTGACCAAACTACCACGAAAACCGTTAAAAAGCAATGACTCCATTAAATTCATAAAAAATCGAGAAAACCTCAAAAGGGATATGGATAAAGAAACCACTACAATCTCACAATTTATTAAATCTTTTAACAAAATTATGTTATGACAGTAGTAAAATTAAGTAAATGACATACGTTGTATCCGCTTTTCTAATGTCATAAAAAAAAAGATAAGCATCATCTCTTTTTTCTTCGCTTTGCACCACTTTTCAATACGTTTGGGCCCAAATGACGCCTTTTAAAGCTTATACTTCTAGGTGACGCAATTTCTTCAAAGCTGAAAAAATTTATCAAGAAATTTGCTTCTTTCTCTCATTTATGGTCTCAGTGAAATATAAACATAAAAAAGCCAAACATGTTTTAAAAAAACTTACCTATTTTTATCATTTTTTTTAGATCTTTTCTTCTGTCCGCCAAATCCAAACTTTTTATCCCGAGCCACTCGACGAGATTTCTTATTCTTCCCGCGCATTCCTCCTTTCTCTGGCCTTCTTATCTCAACCTGAAGATCCTTTTTTTTGCAGAGTGGAACAAAAAATTGGTTGGTGCAAACTAGAATTCAAAATACCTAATTTTATGGTACCTAAAAATATCTAAAATATACGCATTACTGCAATGCATAATTTAACAGTGAACATGAAAAAACCTCAGCATCCTGCATCCTCCTTGAATTGTTGAGTATGGCATCCAGATGTGACTTGACGCCTTTCCGATGTTTTTTCACTGCTTCTGCCAAAATCTTTTTTTCACTCTGTTTCCGTTCCATTACCTGAAGTAAGAAGTAAACTATAATGAACTTTATGTAAAAAAGGCATGACAAAATGACAAAATTAAAACCTCATCCATAATTATAAAATAGCTGAGAGAAAATTAACCTTTTTCTGCACTTTAGCTGCAAACTTTTTTTCTTCACGAATTCTACGAATGGCTTCCAACTTCTGTTTGCTTTCTTCGACTTCTGCCATACGTTGCCTTACCTACACAGTATAACAATAAAACATGTCGTAAATGTATTTATAATAAACTGAAGAAAATATCAGCAACGATTCACAGAAATTACACGAGATGCTCCCGGGCAAACAGAAGAACTTCATTAACCAAATTAACATTTAAAGGAGATGTAAGACAAAAAATAAGTTCACCTTCTGCATATGCCGATCACTTTTTACCATTTCGGCATAATAATCTGTCGGTCGAGAAATCTTCACATCCATTTCACGTAGTCGTGATACAGCTATCTGCACTGCTTTTTCAGCTTGCTTGTAACTGCAACAAATTATCCGTGACAGTTTTTTTTTAAATATAGACTTCCACATTATAATTCACAAAACTCCATCTGAAAATGAATTACTTATTGGAAAATGCAGAAAAAACAAAATAACTTACAAAATTATTTCACGCTCAAAATCGTTGTCGAGTGCTTTCTTACCGACTTGGTCATTATTTACTGTCACATCTAGCGTTTCTAGCCATGGCAAATTCTTTTTGAATTTGTTAACTTTACTCTCCAATTCAGCCTTCAAATGTGCAAAATATAGTATGAAATCATAACTTCTAACAATGAATTCTCCTCAGAGAAAGAAACAGTTAGACTTAACTGCACGATATAAAGGAATTCATCACTGTTAGAGCGATTTATCTTATTTATTGAATTGGATATTATACTTTTTTATTTATGATCGGTCTCTTCTTTTCCACAACATAATTCAGCTTATCAGTCTTCAATAGACCCTCGTTGAATGCAATTTGCAGCTGCAATTAAACCGCATTACAAAATAATATATCGACTAGGAGTTAGTTCATTTCTGCTTTAAATTATCTTATTTCGAAAAAAGCTTGGAATTAAACATCAAATATATACTGGACTTAAAAGACAGATTGACTATTCTTTGATTAACTATTATAGTCCATAGAAATTAAAGTTTTATTGCCCTAAAAACCACTTGTTAGTATCCTTCACTCAAGCATTGCATCAATTAAATTGCACCTCTCTATCAGAATCACTGTCTTCTTCTTCGCTTTCAACAGCTGAAAAGATCTTTGCATTCACATCGCCATTCATAGTACACATTTCTTCTCTTTCCGCACTTAGTATAAGTACTCCTTCAAGAAATCAACCGTCAGGTTTAAAAAAGCACAAACGTTATCCAATATACCAGTACTCTGTGTATCTATACTGACAGGCTTGGTATATCCACTGAATAGAAGCAAAGAACATGATCAAACATTTTTGAAGAGTAAAATAACCAAAGCCTCGCAAACATCACAGAAAAATGGAACGTGGTGGCTTGTTGAGATTTGTGGAATAAGCTTGTTTTAAAGGCTTCCGTTATCCAGTTGAAACTTTACAGTTTATTGAAGTACATATGTAAGTTGATAATTTCTATAATAATGCAAAAGATATGAGCGACAATATGGATGGCTCAAAAACTGCTTACTGGGATTTAATGATAATAAAAAGTTTTTCAACAACTAATCTTTCATCTAACTCCCTGTATTTTTCTTTTCTTTATGATTCTCTCAAAAGAAACAAGATAAGTAGTCAATGCGGAAAGCTTTAGCTTGGACACATTATATCCTTGACATGAAAGTTTAAGGAGCCTTAGAAAGCCTATCCATGATATACCATCTACGTGAAGAAATTACACTAGATGCAGCTTACAGCAATCATTCATAGAATTGCATTATTTAAACTACGGGATCGTAATGCCGCTAAAAAATATTAGTCAGGCTCACCCATCACTAGGAACATCAGAAATGCAACATCCTTAAATAACACCGCGAATTTACAAAACTAGTTTAAGGGATTTTCCTTTTACCCATCATGGCTCACATACCAGTTTCTCAACTATTATAGGTCAATTTGACAATAAGGGGCGACTGATTGAAGGAAAAAATGAAAGATAGCAGACAAAAATGAGATACGGCAGAGATTGCTAAATTTGCTAGGAAGCATGTTAATAGGTATTCATGGTTTTAGCGAATGAGAAACTAGGAACTGACGAAATCTGTTACTAAGGTAAGACGGTTAGGCTATGATGAGATTCTTGGCTGTTTGTCTTTTGCGTAGTACTGTAGATTCGCGGTTGTTTTCGATATGGAAATTTAGAATGAACCGATTCTTTTAGGAATGAACAAATTTTGTCATCAGATCCTCGTACTGGGAACAAAATGTCAAATTTTGCAACTGAAACCCATCCAACGGTAATATCATTTATATTGTCTTTGTTTCATATATCAATATTGAATGTTGCTCTTTTAAAATGATGCTCTTTTAGCAGAAACTCATGTGATGTTTCAGTAATCCATACCGTCCAATCTTGCTCTTAAGTTTTTCAGGAATGAATAAATTTTTATGTAGAACAGTTACGTATATATTGTTTCAATATGTCTTAATGTCTCCAGCTTATTATTGTATTTTTACAGCTTTACAACGTTTATTACTTCATGTTCATCCTCCTCAACTTATATTTGCTGTAACAGAACATTTTCAATTGAAACATCCAGCTCCAATATATTCGAAAATGAAGAAAAAACAAAGCTGGAACCATCACCAGAGTTTTTGTCTTCATTGGACTCAAATTCTCGTCAGTTGCTTGATAAAATAATGGCAGAAGTTGAAGTAATTTTGTGTTTAAAATAATTTTTTTTCCACCAATTTCCTCTTCATTAATCAGGTTTTTCATGATATAGAAAAAAATCCCATTTCTTCAAATTTCATGTTAGATAATGGAATGGATGATGCCACATCCACCATCTATTTTGCGGGATAAACAGTGGGAAAAGTTGATGACAATAGAGAAAACGGAAAATCGAGTAGCCTATTTACGAGCATATGCGAAACACGTTTTTCGCGACGAAATGCGCGAAGCTAAAAAGAAGGCGATTGTAGATTTACGAAATGCATTACTCAATTTTCAGGTATTTTGTGCTAAAATTCGTAAACATTAGGGTGGCAGGATGGGTGGGCTATTGCCCTGCAGATAGAAGCGTATGGAAGATATGGCAGAAAAAGATTAATAATATGAAGAGAGGAAAGAGAATTGATGAGCACTGCATATAGATAGGAGAAATATCACATTAGAGGTGACAGATGTTGAAACGGAAAGTAAAAAAAGAAATTTATGTAAAGGAAGCATATTTGTTTTGGAGGTGAGAAAGCAAGAAAAACTAGAGATGGAAAACTTCGAAAAACATAATGAAAAAAGTGGCAATTAAGAATGAAGTGGGTTGTAATCGGAATTTTCTCACCAGAATCTCCAAATACTACGGAAACCTAGTCTCTAATTCGGGAAAATTATTAATAGAGTATGTTTGATCACTAATAACCGCTCGCTAAATTTTTTCAAGTCCACTCTTTCCAATTTTATTGCGTTAAATTTCTAATTCATTTTATAACCTGCCTATCTGTTCACTACTTTTAATTTCAGCGTGCGAAGTTTGATGCTGGCGCCATGGGCTACGGTCCAACAATGTATGAATTGATCAGCTCCAATATGGAACGTAATGCAAGAAGTAAGTGAAACTAGTTTCCAGAATAGATTTACATTTTCATTTGTGGTTTTCTCACATTTAACAAATATGAAAAAATTTTTGACTCAATAGATGGTACATTAACTTCATAATATTTTATTTATAAGTTGTTAGTTAAAAATTTTTTGAAGGGTTTCTAGTGCTGTAAACTGTCCTCAGCATAGCATAATTGGTGTTAATAAGATTCTGCGCTTCGATACTTCTTTGCAGAATTTTAATTAAAAAGGACGTAACAATTAGGCTGTGATCCATTTACGATCTCTTGAACTCAAGGAAGCTACCAGTGATAACTAATGATATGTATGTACAGGAATTAAACATATCGAGGGAGCAGCGATATGGAGGACTTTACGGCTGAACGAAAAACCACGACTTGTTTTGGACTGTCAGTTTATCGCTGAAAAATTTGATGACTTTTCATCTCGTCTTATTACGCAATTGGAATACATCATACAAGTAAACCTTGTGAATTTTGTAATAGGAAAGTTCTTTGAATATCTAATTTTTTCAAAATGATGCGATTTCAGAGCGGAACTAAGCCTTGGATTTGTCAGTAATTTTAAAGAACTTAATATTGATTTAACTTATTTGTTACTGATATCAGGAAAATTTTCGGCGTCGAGAACCATTCGATTTATCGATTGTCAACTACAATGAAAACAATCCGAACTGTGAAGCTGTCACGAAGTAAATTTTGATGTTTGTACAGAGACTAAAATGAAAATCGTAGATTTAAAGGATGAAAAACCTTTTAGGCTTTTGAAGACTCAATATGCTCATCAGACAATTATGCCACTTCATACAGATGGCGATGTAGTTGATCTGTATAACAAAGAAGATATCATTTATGTTGCCAAGTATGTCTTTTCATCATTCAATTTTTCTGTTTTCGAGACTTAAAAAATAGGAATTAAAAAAAAACCCATATCTGTTATCTGCGTCCATTATAATGATGGATGATTTTCAGATGGGCTAAGCAAGTAATACAAACTCCACTAAATAATAAAGTTTATGTAATATGTTTGGGACGTGATAATCGATTACCTCTTGGTGCTGCTCGAAAGCGCGGTTGTCGTACAGCACGTATACCATTTAACGAACACTTTAAGTATATTTTAATTAGTTTTTCAATTAACTTATGCACAAAATTTTAAATTTGTGCAGACATTTTTTTAAAGTATTCGGATCATAATAAACGACGGACTATATTAAGTATACAAATCCGTAGATTTGTGGATTAGTGCAACATTGAAAGTAGGGAAAGAAGTGCCTTTTTTTTATTAACGAATTTATTTTATGCAGCAGAGGAATATTTCTGGATAATTTATTGAGCATTTTATATTTACTTACATTTACTTGACTGCAGAATCCGAAACTTATATAACTCTAGAAAATTTTGCAGACTTTACAACTTTCACTTTCTTCCTTTTACGAGTGTAGTACGAGTTCTTCATGAAGTTTATCAAACTGGTGGAGATTGGCACACAGCTATATTGAATGGTATCTCCAGGTAGTAATTACAGTTATGATGAGATTTATTTCATTGAGGAATGAGCAAGTTTATGGATTATTTTTGCTTGTTTTCGACAAAGTTTCACTGTGACGGAAAAAGGTTTTCGCTAAAGGGTTTTTGTATTTCAAAAATTCGGGTATCCAGTCGAAACGTTAATACTTTCCTTGCTTAATTTTTGACAATGTAACTCTTCCAAACCCAAACAGTTATTTTTTTCCCCATTTTTTCCTCCCTACTTGTTTGCTTTATAATTCTTATACTGATTAGCTTTATGCTGTTTGAATATTTTAGACGATATTTCATTCCTCAGGAAGACAATATATCCAGAACAATGAGTACGCAAGCAAGGCTTAAAAATGAGGAGTTGACTAATCAAATATCGCAAATGGTTGTCGATGCCCTGCAAGTAGATAATGAGAACAAATAATCGTATTTATAAATTTTTGGTGGTTTTCGCTGGCAACAAAGCAGAATCTTATCACATTTAATTGTTACTAGATCTGTTGTAGTAATACATGTTTGAACATTGTATGTTGTTTTTGTTACTCGTGTTGTTTTAACTAAATCCGAATG